TGGGGATCATCTCGACTGAGGCCCCCTTGTGCCCCACTCAGACTGGCCCTGCCCCCGAGATCTTGCCAGGACAGGCCCTGATCCTGCCACGCTGCCAGCGTTCGAGTTCGGTTCATGCACGGGGCCTGTGTAGCCACGGGGGAAGGGAGGGGGAGGCTGCCTCTCATGAAAGGGTTAAAAGCGAGTTAGGACGAGTCCCCTGAACCAACCAGGGTCCCAGAAACCAGGCTTTCGGGGGGGGGGCTCTCCTCCTCCCCCCATGCTCTTCACTCCTGGGGCTCTGATCCGGTGTGAGCCGTGGGCCTCTGCTTTTCTGCTTTGCTTGTAGCACCCGGCTTCTATAGGAAGTATTGTCTAGACCAGGGCTACTCAACTTTGGAAGCCCCGGGGGCCACAATGATATTCACGGCCCCTGCCGAGGGCCGCAACTTAAGTGAGGTTGCATATCCATGCAAATATATATGCAAATATATGCAAATAGCTTCTTTCACATTGCCGGGCATGAATACAAAGATTAAGCCGCGGCGCCCGACCCAAACGTGGCCAGTCGGCACCTCTCCGGCTCTGCCCACAAGGCTAAGCAGCCGACACGTCCCACAGTGCCCCGGTGCTCCCGGCACCTCCTCCCTAGGGCCTAGAAACGCTGACACCCTGCACCCGTTTGTGCCAGCCAGCCCGTCCGCTTGTGTCTTTCAGTGCTCACCCCACCAGGGAGCCGTGTCACCGTTGGGGAGCGTGTTCCCAGGGGGGCCACGTTCAAAGGATCCCACCTGTTGAGCCTCATGTAAACCCAAACCGCCCCACGGGCTGCGTGTTGAGTAGCCCTGCTCTACTGGGTAAAACTGGGGACTGGGAGTCTAGACTCCTGGGTTCTCCCCACAGCGCTGGAGATGATGCAGGGGGGTGTTGAATTTGGCCTCATGCTCCGAACGGGGTGGGAGACGGGGAATCAGGGTTTCTGGGTCTATCCCAGGCTCCGCTACCGACCTAGCGTGCAACCTTGGGCAAGTCACGTCCTCTCTCTCCCATCTCCAAAATCTTTCCCCTCCAGCTGAAGCTGGTGTCTGAGCGTGTCAGCTGGCAGGTGCCGGGCGGGACGGGATAAGGTCAGCCAATCCCTGGGGGTCTTTTAGAGGTCGCGGGGCCCTTGCTCTGCAGCGGGTCTCAGCAGCCGGCGGGGTGCGTGCGGGAGAGAAGCAAGAGGAATCCGATGGCAGATGCGATAGCGACGCGCCGTCCCAAAGGCAGGCCAAGGAAACGCG